CCATTATGTCACCCTCATACCTTTCATTTTGAAGTCGACGATGAAGATCAATCACAAGATCAGCCATATCAAAATCACCGTTTTCTCTTTTCACTTTTTCGTAATCTTGATAAATATCATATATCGTCTGTCTCTCATGTCCACTTAAGATAGACACCCTACCCTCAGATAGTTTCACATAATCCTCCTCATTGAGTCTGCCATCACAAGAATCCCCTGACCTCAAGCCACCTTTTATATGAGACATTATCTCTGTGAAGACTCTGGATGAGTCAAGGCTTTTTGTCAGCTTATCATTAAAATGGGGCCAATAAGTTGAACAAAACTTTTCGTAATTGACCTCCCTTGTTCTTATAAAGTTTTGTCAGAAAATTGGTGCATCCTCAACTTCCCAATTTGTTATTGATAGCTCCCTAGCATTATTGAATTTCTCAAAGAAAGACTTACCGATTGTTCCATCAAGCATTATCAGAAACTTTTGTAAAGTTATAACGAGAGGGTATGCCTTAGGAAGAATATCAACAAATGAATCCGGAATATCCTTGAATTGTGCTGCACCATCAATATCGTCCACATCTTCCAGGGCACTCTCTTGAGAATAATCTCCCCCGCTGGCAAACCTGTATGTTTAACAAGGCTTGTGACACTGGGAAAAAGGAAAAAAACCCTCCATGCAGCTGAATAAAGTACCCTGAGTTGAGTATTACATTAACAAGTTGATCAAATTAATTTACATGAGAAGTCAGAACCAAAATAATCACCTTCGAATTATTAATAAAATTGCGACTTGTTTGTAAATAAGAAAAAGAGTGCAACTTGCAACACTCTTGCAACCATCTATGATCACAGACATAAAAAGAACCTTTGAACTTTACCATTTAGAAGCAGAAACCATTATTCATTGAGGACATACACACGTAGACAAAAGACTATCAAAGGTCTGAAAAATAAATAGTCAGGAAAACACTTTGCAGACTTATAAACAGTAGAGGTCCTTACTCAATTAGAAATGCTATGACTTATAAGATGCAATTATGCAGTTCTTGCTCTAAAGCTTGAGAAACTTGCAAGTCCATGAAAAATTGACTTATTTTAGATGAAAAAAAATTAAAAAAAGACTTGCCAGCATTTTAGATGTAAATCTTCTCAAAGATTTTATTGTTTCAAACTTCTGAAAAATTGCACATGAAAGATTATCAGCTTTTTGTGGTGAGACAATGAAGTCATCATTTGATTTATTTTTATGCCAATTGTAAACTCAAAGTTTTATACTACAACGAAGCTATCGTTTCAACTCATTATCCAACGCACCTTTTCAATTGAAGAACATGATGTTTCACAGCATAACAAAGTTTAGGACTGACTGTTACAAAAAGCTGGCGCAGTACAGTTGCTTCAGTCCCTCCAATACCACCCATGATTCTGTTTGCCCGACAGACTTCATAAGAGTTATTTGTGCCGACTTCATCCAAATTTTCGGTAGCTAAATGGTGTAATTGCTCTTTCTTAAACAACTTCATGGTTAAGACAGTAGTCTTCCCAGTGCCTGACCTTCCTAGTATAAAACTGCTTCTTTGGAATTGAATTATATCGAGTTCCTGGTCTGTCACCTCAAATAGGAGTTCTAGTTCTCTCCCATCCTGATCAGAAAGAAGGTGGTTCACAACACCTGATGATAAAGAGTAGAATTTCATCAACAGCAAGCCCTCACTCACTTTCGAGTTCTCTACATAACATCTACCATCTGAAGCACTGCCATTTGAAGTGTTCTCCCTTTCATCTTGGCTTAGCGTCTTGTACCTGACAATATCAAATGAGGTTGTCCAAATTTTGGGAACTTCCAAATACCTAGATATGATAAAAAAAGGTAAAACAATGTAGGAGTTTTAAAATGATTGCATAACATTCATATTCAAGAAAGGAACATTTAATATTTACAAGTTAGTAATATCATTATGGTCACATACCCCTCCAGATATTTCTCATTGCAATGACTGATAAAATCATTAGTATACATTTTGAAGATGCCATCAAGGCGTTTAACCAGTCTGCCAATATCCTCTAACGGCAAAAGATCCCAAGCCTTCAACACCTGAGTGTACCTATGCTTCTTCACTACATCAATGGAGCAGACAACATAAAGATGTTCAACCTTGAATTGTTTCAAGACCATAGAAGAGCTTTCACAAATTAAATCCACATTTCTCTTCTTAGGTCGCCAGCCACTGGAAAGTTTTAGTAGAAGGTTTAAAACGGATTTCTTGGTCTGGAGAGATTTCAGCTTCCCAAATGAAATTCTAAAGTAATCGCTGAAAAGAACCTGAAGCCATGGGAAACAAAAAGAAAATAATTTTTACCACTTACTATAAACAATCTCCAATGGAGTCTCATTAACTAAAATATACTGATAAAAAAAGGTTGCCAGAATGTAAGATAACATAAGTTTTCATGTCAAATGTACAAACTTCAAATATAAATTAATACCGACAACTTGATAGAAGCAAGTTTTAGCAGTGTAAGTTACATACCTTCCACCTAGCACTTTTGAAAAGAACACTGTCGCCATTAAGCAAGTCATCAAGTTGATTTAGATCTTTCATGGCATCTAGAATTGCGTTTGCCAATTCCTCGTTTTCATCAGCATTAAAAAAACAATATCGCGCCTTTGCATCATGAACTAAAGCCTCCCAAGCAGATTCACTTTTGGCCAGTGTTCCTCCATTCCCCAAAATCCAGAGGCTGTGCCTGAGAAGGCATTGAAAACCCAGTAACAGATTGCAACTATTCAGAGAATTGCAAAAACTGAAGGGAAACAAGTTAATCTAAGGAAATACCTAGCCCTTGTTAGAGCAACATTAGCTC